CTTCCATTTATTTAATTCAAATGTAAGGAGGTTCAAACAAGAAACTTGGAAGATGTTAGCTTAGTTCGAGAAAAAAGATTAAGTTATTGCCCACAAAAATATTGTGACCAAAAGATTTGTGTCAGATAAGATGCGGGTATGTTAGAGTAGCTCTTTGCTAATTTGTAGATTATCGTGATTTTTGAGAAACAGAGTTTAAAGTCAATCTTTTAAAGAAATCACTTTATAGCTAAGCGAAACTTTGCCAAGAGTGAAAATGAAAACAAAAATTTTCCTGAGCTAACTGATGTACATATTTTAGACAAGAATTTTTACATATTAAAAAATAGAAAATAATTTACAAACTCTAAAATCTAATTATAATACATTATTACAAAGAATATATTTCAATTTGATCTGAAAGGACTTCAAACAAAAATTATAAACACTAAATTTGAGATTGAAACTTTACCTAGTTTGAAAATTTTAAAAATAAAAATTTAAAACAAAACTAGTTGAACTTGGAAGGTTTCAATTATAATAATATTCTAGAATTCAGAGAATGAATTTAGATACCTTAAGAATGTTTGTTTTTGGGAGCTTTTGTTCAATTTAGTTCAAAATTAGAATTAAAGGTGAAAATGTAGCTAGAAATGAGAATAGGGATGAAATGGTTTATTTTGAATATGTGAAGGGGCAAAAAACACATTGTTAAAGTAAATGTCAAAAAGTATGATACCTTATACATAAAGGATTATAATGAATTATTTTAAAAGTAAGGGACTAAAAAATTACAAAATTCAAGTATGAGGAATCATTGCAGTTTTTCTTATTAAAAAAGAGAAAATACTATTCTAGTTTTGTTTGAAAATCATTGTAGTTAATACAAGTATGGTGAAACCCCTATAAATTAATGCTCGATAAATTAATAACTTCTATTAAATAATAATTTTTCTCGGTAACTTAAGCTAACGAGCTAAATTAATAATTTTACTAATATAATAACATAATAAAAAATCTACATAAATATAAAAATAAAAGATAATAATTTTTTTGAATACTTCACATAACCCTTTGGTCCCGTTGATATCAATACTTCACATAACCCTTTGGTCCCATTCATATTATAAATTAATAATTCACTAAAATTATATATCATATTTTTCAAAAATATTAGTCTAATATTCTTTATTTTTTCAAACTTCCATTGCTGCAACTATTTTTGAGTGCACAGGGATGTTCTGTACTATACTCACATAATGCTTTACATATTTGATCAGTCATGGTTGATTTATGAACACCTTTTAGATCGAAAGTCATAGTTTAACAATGAGATGTAAGAACATTTTGTGTTTGTTTATTATGAGAAGACTTCCCTATCACTTATATGCATAATATTACTAATCTAATTCATTGTATGCATTTAATAAAATGGGAGTAGGCATCTATCATTTAGTATTCGTAAGATTTTTTTTTTTTATCTCTTGATAATAGAAAAATGATATCAGTTATACATATATTGAAGACATTAATAGAATTAAATTAGGATTAATCTTTTCTACACTGACAGTGTATAGACTATTAGCATTTGATGAATGACAACTATGCAAAATTTGAATTTAAAATTCAATTTTTGCACACATGTCATGAATCAAATGGTGATAGTGTATACACTGTCAGTGTACATAAGATTTACTTATTAAATTATACTTACAAATCAAGTAAATATGCATTGGTATATATTCCTTAAATTTTTAGCCACATTTTATTAATATAATAATTCACATTTTTATAAAATAAAATAAAACTTTAGTTAATTAAATGTGTATTTCTCTAAATTATAAGTACACTTCATAAATTAATAACTTTTTGAATTAATAGAATCTGTATCATCCTAAGTTATTAATGTATAGAGGCTTTACTGTACCAGCACTTTGAGATTTCTTTTAATTGATATTATGAACGTCTCTTCAAATACTTAGCATCAAAATGGCGTAATTGTAAATATAGTCATATAAAAAAAATCCAAAAATTATGCCAAGTTAGAGGTTCAATTCAATGAATTAAATACCAACTTTGATGGCACAATAACGATCAATTGCAAATCACTCCACAACTTTACATGGGTTGCAGTAACACCCCACTCCAACTCCAACTTCAAAATTCAAGTCCAAATGTGTTTGGCTGCTGCTGCTGCTGCTGCCGCTGCCTTTTCCCCTTTTTTTTCTTCATCTCTGTGGCTTCCAATTTTGATGAGATATGGGACAAGTACAGAGCCAACCAGTAGGCCCAGAGGATGAAAAGAACCCTTCTTCAGCTCATCCTACCGGCGCCGCTACCGATGATCAGAATTCATCTCTTGATTCTTTAATTGCTGGTTCAATACTCCTCCATCCTTTCTTTTTTCTGATTATTACTTCTTGTAATTTGACCTAATATTGGACTGAGTAGACGAGCCTTAAACCCGAAACCCTTCTCAAAAGTTACTAACTTTTCTTTTTTTAGTGCAGAAGCTGCAGCATTTGGCGATGAAGATGAGAATTTGGTAGGATGGATTCAGTTTCCAACTATTACTAATTAAAACTACTGATTCAATTTTCTGTTTTGAGTTTTTTTAATATATTGTGGTTCAAACTTGGGACTGACTGAAATTTATGTGGCCTCAAATGTTAAGTCAGTGGAGGAAAAAGCTCAGAGAGCACTGGAATGCCCTTGCATTGCTCATTTGAGGACAGGTCCTTGTGGCTTCCAGTTCTCTAATGCCTTCCTCTGTTTCCTCAAGAGCACTGCTCCAGAGAAGGTAATCACCAAAGCCTACAATCATTTTTTTTTTTTCCTTTTTTTCATTTTCTGCCTTCTACTGATTCAGTATGCAATTTGAGTTACTGAAAAACCGCCTGAAATACATTTTTTAAAGTTGGATTAGCACTAGCAAATTGCTGCGCCAAGCATTATCATTCAAGTGTAAGAAGAAATGACTTTTTAAATCGTTTAGGACCAGAAACAAATGTTTGTGCAATGTTCATATGGTTGCGGCTCTTTTAGGTTATACCACCTTTTATATGTCTTTAAATTATCATAGCTTATGTGAAACCAAATCTGATATAGATGGAGATCAAGGGCCGGATAATCGGCCACAATTGCTCAAGAAAATACCCACATTCCCTTCGTCCTCCCCTGTTTTAGGAGGAGATAGATGGATGAAATTAGCTGCAATTGCCTAAGAAATAATCCCTGTTATGTTGTCTGTGTCTGCATAGAGCCCGTCCTTGCACTCTTGTTTTGTGTTTCTCAAGGACTTGTGATGCTTGAATACTGGTGAGAGACTGCAAGTAAACCTAAAGCCAAAATTTTGACCACATTACTTGTGCTTGGGAAATGAAGAACAAACTTGAAAATGAGATGAAATCAATCTTATCAAAACCTCTAAATCATAATATTTACTTGGGTACTCAAAGATTTAATCTTGAGAAAGGAATACCTGATGATCACTGTAAAATTATTTTTTCCAAGAAATCTCGTCTCCTTTGCTTTTCTCATGTTCTAGCTTGCATGGTGCTGATATGAACATTTAAGCTCGCACTCATACAGCACCACATGTTTATACTGGTGCAATTGTCAGTGGCTTGCCTCATCTTATGCTGCCAGCAGATAATATAACCTCTATTGCAAATCAAAATTTACTCGAGTGTTAACTACACCAGGCTAAAATTTTAGCAGGAAATTGGGCCCTGTAATGTAGTCTCTCTGTGTTCTTAACTTTTTGTCCAGTAGTCATTATAGAGCACATTTTTAGCAGTTATTACTTGAAAACCTTCCAACCTGCATTTCCAAGGTTCTAATTGTTTGGGTTGAGAAATGCACTTAGGTTAGATCAGTGTCTGGGAGATATGATCTTCATATTGCCGTCCTTTCTTTTAGTCATTCAACAAGAAGAAAGTATTGTAGTCGACTTCCACACTGTTAATTCTTAATAGGATAAGAAAACACACAATCCCTAATATAGGATATAGTAGTGTAGTCTCTCTCACTGTTTTGCCATTAATATATGTGGGTCATAGGTTTTTTTTTCCCCTTTTGTCTCTATGTCTATCTTGTCTTGAAGCCTCTTAATTTGTTTGCTACTTTCCTTGTAGGGCTCAGACTGTGTTCATCCATTTGTGGCTCTGCAGAATTGTATCAAAGCAAATCCTGATGCATTTTCTAAGGACATTTTAGAAGACGATGAGATCAAGAAAAAGGATGGCGAAATCAAGAAAGAGGAAAAGCCATCCAAAGAATACAAAATTCACCCTCCTCTCTGGTCTGTAGAATCCAAAAAATCCAAACATAAGTCTTAAGACAGGATGTACTTATTCGATTCCATGGAACCTCATTTATTGAATTATTAACTTCCATGGGGTATTTTTCCAGTCTATTATTACCCAAGAGATTCCTTAGACACCACAAGTGTTCTTTCACTAGAATGATTAGAGGCATTTTGTAAACGTTAATAACAATCTGTAGGTTGATCCCGTTATTAGTTTTAACTGAGCAAGAAGGCCCTCGAATGCTTTTTACATTTATGTTTTAGAAGTCTAGAAAAACAAAAGATGCTTTCCACAAGTAAATCAAAACTACTTTACATTTAAGGTTTTCGCCCTGGAAGAAACTAAAAGTGGTAAACATCAATGCTTTGACAGCCTAGAAAAGGAAAAGATGTTTTCAGCTACTTTTAACTTTAATGTTTTCATCTGGAAGAAACTAAAATTGGTAAAATTTATTATAATGCTCTCTCAGTGTTGCCATGAAGCTCTGAGGACAAACTAGACTCGAGAGCTAACAGGATACCAAAAGAACATTTAGACCACCAATGAACTGCCTACTTCAACGTCCTTTAACTCTTTTAGGCCAAGACCTGGAGCACTTTCATGAGTGGCTCTTTTGCTTGGTTTAATTTTGTGGCAAAAGCAGGATACTTCTCATTAGACATAGCCTATAAAAGTATTTCACCAAGGTTGCTCAAATAGCAAAGAAATATGTGATCAAACAGAATAATCTAGAAAACTTTAATTGCAGCTGTCAAACTAGGTAAATAGTAAGCTCGAACCTGTCCAACTATGACTGTACTCAAGACATTATAGTATCCGAGCATTCCTTGATCCTACTGCATTTGCATTATATCCCACCACAATTTTGCCAAAATTTTGCATATTTGGTGAGAATCACGAAGCATTGGATGATTCATCTGGAGAATTTTCAGATTCTGACCAATCAATCATTTTCTCCAGTGAATCCAGATCCCCAGCTTCTGAAACTGTGTGTAACCTGATATTTTCTGCATCCTCACTGAGAGAATTGAAAAGCAAGAAATTGTCAATTGAGTAGAAAGTTTTAAATTAAAATGACTAAGAGGTTCCACCGGAGATTCTTACTCAGCAACTCCAAATATTTCTTTGACAGTTATCGAGCTATCCCTTGAACTCAGGCAGCTGGTAGATAGGTACAAAAAGTTAAATAATGCATTAAAATGTACCGAAATGCATATCGGTGATACAAAAACTGGGTTTAGAACAAGTCCTATCCAAGATTAAGATTACAATTCAACAGGAAAATCTCTCTCCTTCTAGACAAGCTTAGATACCATTGATGAAACTAAAGTATTAGATTGGAGGACTTTTCAAACAAGATGCCAAACAGAAAAGAGATCCATGTGAACTTCAAGACGAGAAGGATGACATTAGTAACTAGGATAGACCTTGAGCAAGACCGATGTGCATAAAATTAGTACATCATAGTTCACACACAGCCACCGAGAATGACATGGACTTCTCTGAAGTTTAATTTAATCACTAGCACGCCAAATATATGGAGTTAAACTCATGTGAAGACCAAATTGTCATCCTACGTTGTGAAACTAGAGCAGGTTTCTGAACAAACCAAATGTTACAATATATTTGTTTATACTTAAGGCTCTGTACGGATTCCCAGTTTTGGGAAAACCTTGAATTTCAAATACAAGTCTACAGTAAGATTAATCCAAAAACAACCCAAGTACACCTTACCTATTATCTATAAATAAATATATAAATCAAAATAAAATATCACCCTCCTTTCTTCCTCCACTACCACCCCTCACCTCTTGCCGCCACCACACCCCACTTCTTACTATAAGAAGAAATCTAGTGGAAAGTTACCATAAAGGAGGGGGGGGGGGAGAGTGGGAGGAAGTACAAAATGGTTTGCGAGTTAGTGAATAAGTATACTATGCAAAAACCGTGATTCCAGAATAACACAATAAAAAACTAGTTATGCAAGGTGCACATTGGAGCATTTCAGCAAAAAGCTATCAAAATTACCTTAGAAAGATTTAAAAACCTTCCCAAACAGAGCTTGTACTTCAAGTTTTCTCTTGAAACCCTTCTCCGAATATCCTGACAAATCCATCACAGCAGCACCTGAAAATGCAATCAACCATTGTCAGTCAATAGCAATGCTGCATGAGCATGAAGGCAGATAACATCTATTAACATCCATCCAGCAGAAAGCATATTTGCTTTTTGGAGTTAATTTCTATGCCGGTCATAACTTCATAAGTAAGAGAAGGCAGAAAAAGAAGATCAAATAACAGCTCATTTTTGGCTCCTTTGCCACCAAAAATAGTTACAATGAGCTATATCAGTAAGTGCAATGATTGTCCAGAACATGTGCACACAGACATCTGAACCACAAGACTTTGTCATAAAGGAACATGCTTATGACTTAATATTTCTTGTTAAGCTTTACAAAGCACCAGGTGCAAGAGAGAGGAGCTGAGTTAGTCCTCTTAACAGCTAATTTTAGGTGATGTGGTAGCACAACTCATTAGAGAGGATGACAATCTTAAGTCTGGAATCCTAGATTGCCTGGTTAGTATGAAGAGAACTGAGTGAACTGATTTGGATCCATAGCGAATAGCGATAAATGAGGATGCAGCTTTGACATGGTAATACTGTGAAACCTCAAGCCTTTATCCAACGTCCCCATCGGGTAATTTTTGGAACATTCCAGATAGCACACAATTTAGTATAGCAACTTGGGCTTAAACACTTTTTGTTACTGATTTTGGCTTCAACAAGTCATTAAACTAGTACATAATTAAACTACTTAGCAAATGTCACCATTTTGGAGTTTAATTCATTTCAGGATCTAAGAATTGAGAAAATGTGGAGCGTGTTAGTTTACCTGTACATAAAGGTGACCATGATCTCTAACAACTTGTGCTTTCAGGTGGTAGGCAATGGGGTAATCACACAAGTCATCATAACATAGACTTTCTACACAAAAACTGATTAGGAAGCCACTCAACTAAATGTTTATTCTTCAAAGGACTTGCATTTGAAGAGCAACTAACATAGTTCCATAGAAATCTTAGTCACTCAATTCTAATTTATTGCATGATTGATGAATAGAATGATAATTGTTTTTACTTCAACTGTTTTTGCAAGAAGCTGCTAGAATGCCAGCACACAGTCCCATGATTGACCTCTTATTCTTTTTCAGTCCTGACAAGTGCAAGCTGCTTAAAAATCAAACTTAATTCTGCTTAGTTAAATGTTCATACTGAAACAACACCACAAGTACTATTTTCCTCTCAAGATGAAAAACAAAAAAGCCAAAAAAGTTTCTCCTTTTTTTTTTTTGTTTTTGGGGAAGCGAAAAGAGAGTTTAGTTGACCTTTATTCTGTCAGATGCTATAAGTTGTAACCTCATCTACAATGACAGAGCCAAAGGAGGTTGAGGGGAGCCATGACCCCGCTAAGTTTAGAAAATTTTAATTCATAGTGCGTGAATATATGTATAAAACAAAGTTGACTCCTCCTAATTTTTTATAATTTTAATTTATATTATGAGAGTTTATATATATGTATATATATATATTTATATTTATATACACACCTTTAAATCTTGACTTCGTCACTTCTGATCTACATTAGGGGTAAAAACATAGGTAAGCCTGGTTTGTATGTATGTATTTTTTATTTTCTTGGGTTTGCTAATTCTATCTTTGCACTTAATCGTTGACCATTGGTGTGACATAGCTTGCACTGAATATGAATTGATTTTTCATGTATAGTTTGGTCTAGTGATCTACATTACTCCACCTATACTTGGATACGGTTGCAGCTGCTCATACATAAATGTTTTGTCTTGACATTTGATTGCTCTTACTTGATAATTCATTTTCATCTTGGAAATGCTTTTACTTGGAGCATGTGTGTCCAGCTTTTGTTATTAGTGACTTTCTGAAGCCAATGAGAATTTTTCTGGCATTATGGTTGTTCGGAGTTTTCTGCCACTACTTGCTTTTGTCTTTACTAAGGTTTATTTTAGACTCTGTTTTCTGGTAGGTAAACTAACCAAAGTTAATTGTTCTTTTAAAGTTTTGATTGTCTCCTACTTATTGTACTATTTTATTGCAGATAGTTCATTCGAACTTTTTAGGAGATCAGTAGTTATCACAGGACTAAAGAACATTAGAGACAAAGCTTTGACTGAAGGACGTTGGATAAAGCTGTCTTTTGATGATGCAGTGGTTCGGCAATATTTTTTTGTTTTTTGACTCAGATTTCTTTCGTAAAGCTGCGTACTTAGATATGGAACTTGGAACATCTACTACTTATCAAAATATTTGTAGGGTGATATAAAACTTAAATATGATATTCAAGTACCTAATATGCTATATTGGTTTTTTCTAATGCAGTGACTGCCTTTCCTTGTTAGTTGCCAAGCTTTATTGTTTTTACTGATTTTTAGATAAATAATTTTAGTTATTAAATTGTGTGTTCATTAAACTATATAGTGATAACTAGATCAAATCTTTTCAAATGTTGTCACAGGTCAAGAAACTCCAATGTGACAAGAAAATGTTCACTAACCCCAGTCCAATAGTGACGAGTGATGGCAAGTGTTGTCACTAACTTGTCAACATCAGTGACAATCATTGACAAGTTTCAGTGATGACCTTGATCCAAATAGGATACCTTTATGGTAGGAACCCTCCTATCATAAGCAGCTACTCAGAACATGACACGCGTATTTATAAAATAGGAGTTCACAGACCGTTATGTTGCAATGGTAATGCGCATGGAGATAAACCAAACAAGACATGTCCGGATGCAGTCTTTTTTCCCTTCCAATTCCTCTGTTCACTGTACATTGTTTCCCCACTGCTTTATTACATTTTCTGCACCTAATATAAAAAATATTTAATAAAATTAATAACAACATACCAACAATATATACCCATGACATAAATATACTAAGCAATTATAAAAATTATTAGGATTATATAGTTGCTTTAAAAGTTGCTCCCAAACACTGTGCAACTAAATTTTTCATTCAAACTAACGATAGTACAAAAAAAAAACTAATTAATGAAAATACGATCTCGAAAAATTTTTAATTTACAGTCACAATATGTGAATTCGTGATAAATACAAAAAAATATGATACTTTGATCATATAATGAAGGAAAACCATAAAGAGCAGACCATTTACAGGAAAAGTTTTCATTAATAAAAATACCAACTCTTCATGGATTTCTTTTCAGTTCTCCAACGTATGAGCAAAGTGCCAATAATTAAATTAGTAATTTTTTTATTTATACATAATTAAATTTTTTTTTGCATTTTCACAAAAACAAATGAAAATTTTTTATCAAAAAGTCAAAATGATTGGTCTAAAAGGGAAAGGAATAGCAAATATGTACAGTACTTGTATTTTACATTCGAAATGCTACAGTGCTGTTTTTAAAAAACACTCTAAAAAACATCTAATTCAAACGGAACCAATCTTCATTATTTAAAAGAAAAATCGTTCAAAACGTCCATCACATTTTACAAGATGACTTTTTTCGTCCCTCACTTTTAGAAGTATAATTTTACGTCCCTTACAAATTCACATTGATCAAATTTGGTCCCTACCTAGGTTTCCGACTAGTTTTTGCCGGAATCCACCACGTGACTTGCATGTGATTATTTTTTAAGGACAAAATTATCAAATCAAATTTTTACATAATCTGATTCATAGTCCCTCACATTTCACAAAATGAATTTTTTCGTCCCTAACATTTTACAAAATGAGTTGCTTTGTTTCTCACATTTCAAAAAATGAATTTTTCCATCCCTCATATTTTTTAAAATGAATTTTTCATCCCTCATTGATCATGTATACGAATAGCTTTTTTTTTTCTATAAATCAACGTATATGTCTATTTGATTTTACCTGAACAGTATGAATAACATATAATTTATCTCTATTGGATTTCATCTAAACATACTAATCGTAGTTATACACATGCTATTCAATAGATATATATAGGGGTTTTAAACTAATAATTTTGTTTGAAACCCATGTATATATTTATATGATTTCACCATTTGAACCTATTCAATATTTGTGACATTTATCTTTTGATAATAATTTATTTATTGAATTGTATAATAAGGTCATCTAATTAATGGGTCCTAACTCGAATTCTATAATTGTGTTAACAAATTTCAGTTTAAATCTGAAATTTCTATTCGACACTTTTTAGATCAACAGTTGAATTACTTGCCTTGTGATTGTGTTAAAATTTGAAAGTGCCAATCACTTATTTCTTTTTGTCATACTTTTCTTTTGTTTACTTTTTCTATCCAAATTTAATTCGATATAAACACTCGATAATATTTAGGATTAAATGTTTTCATTATTTTCAAATTTCGAGTAAAAGAAATTGAATATAAGTGAAAAACTAATAATTTTTTTAAACTCATGTCTATATCTATTTGATTTCATTTGAGCAATATGAATAGTGTGCACTATATCTCTATTTGATTTCACATGCTATTTGTATTGTTCAGGTGAAATCAAATAAATATATACATGGATTTAAAAAAAATTATTCACATACATGATCAATAAAAGATGAAAAAATTCATTTTGAAAAATGTGAAGGACGAAAAATTTTATTTTATGAAATGTGAGGGATTATAAATCGAATTATATAAAATTTGATTTGACAAATTTGCCCTTAAAATATGATCATGTGCAAGGCACGAGGTGAATTCCGATCAAAAACTAGTCGGAAACCTAAGTAGAGACCAAATTTGACCAATGTGAATTTGTAAGGGACGTAAAATTACATTTTTAAAAGCGAGGGACGAAAAAAGTTATTTTGCAAAATGTGAGGGAGTTCTGAACAATTTTTCCTTATTTAAAATACCAAATCCGTGAATGTGTTTTAACTGTTATTCATTGGTATTCTAAAGTATCATTTTTCCATCAAATACCAGCTCTTTAACACCCATTTTTTCATAAAATAAATTTATTTATCGGATAAAATAAAAATATATCCGTTTTTCAATAAATAGCTTTTTCCAATAAATAGCTAGTGTTTTGTTGAAAAACGGTTTTATTTTTATTTTATCCGATAAATAAATTTATTTA